AAAAAGGTGTCAAAGTTTTTTCCTCTTGCCTCCTTCTCTAAATCTTTTGTTTTTCTTCCAAAAAAAATGTAAAAGAAAAATTAAAATAAATGTGTTTGTGTGAGTGGTGACGAAAAAGAAAGAGAAAAGTGTGAAGATATTTTTTGCGTGTTTATTATATATATATATATATATATATATATATATATATATATATATTCTTTTTAATGTTCTCATTTTCTTCCCCTTTTATTTCTCTCTTTTGCTTTACCTAATGATTAATTTAATTATTGGTGCCATTTTACTTAGTTACTCCTTACAACTCTATTCCCCACAACCTAATTTAACTAGACATATAATACTTTGATTTGAAATAATCATATCACCATGATCATAGAGGAACATAGATTCATTTTGAATAAATTTGAGCCGCATGCATAACATCTTTGCCCATGTGCAACTCAAAAAGCAAAACAACCTAAAAAGTGGATAAAAAGTAAACTTACTTTGTTCTTCCTTCTAATAAGGGAATTTGTAGAGTTTTTCGTTAGGAAATTTCTACTGTCTTTGATCTTCAAAAAGATGAAAATTGAGGTAAGAAATCTTGAGAGCGTAGAGAGAAAGCTTAGAAATATAAGTTTTTATAAAATGAACTTTCATTAATAAAAAATCTATTTATACTTTTACTATTAAAATATTATCATATCTTTCTTTTAAATGTCACTACTCCCTTTAAAACATTTTTCTAACTTCTCACATTTAAACATGATGCATACTTGACTAGCAATGCAACCTTTTCGTTTTTCAAATTACAATTGATAATGTAGATTTTTTATGTCGATTTGTTAAGTTAAAAGAAAAACATATTTCTATTAGAAAACTATATGTATTTTTCTTTTTACTTAGTTTTATACATAGGAAAAACTATATAGGGGTGACAAAAAGGGCTAAGCCGGGTGGGCTAGCTCGACAGCCCAGCCAAAAAAGCCGATCGGGCTGATCTCTTCAGTCTGGTTGCTCGACAATCAGGCATGGAGAGTTTCTTCCTCCACCACCCCAAGTGCTCCCTACACCTCTCCACTATTTTTTTTATTTAAAAAATATCCTACATTAATTTAACTTTTACCATTTAACTTTATTTACCTTTTTTAAAACTCTAATTCTCCCTACACCCGTTCACTTTTATCTTTCTTTGATTGCACACAAACCTTTAAGTAGTACAAAAGTGAAACTTTCGGTGAGTAATGCTTTACATGATTGGGTTGGAAAAAGCAAAGAAAGAGTTAGTAGGAAGCATCCAGAAGGGTATAGACTTCATTAGAAAATAAATGTGACCAGGAAAAATTAGTATCTGCTTCTTGGTGATGGGGTTTTCCCTTTTCTACAGTCTTTAGTTCCAAATCCAAAACTTTCCCGCTGTCTGTATCTCTTGTCCTCTTGGTATTTTATCACCCTTTTTCTCCATTTGGCTGTTGTTTGATGATTTGGATCCACCCATGGGAATTGGGCTGATCCGGTTTTGGTAATAAATTTATGAGGTTAATAATTTATATTTTTTATTGAAAATTTCAGGGAGCTATCCTTTTCAAAATTTATGCTTAAACGAATATCAACATCTGTTTGTCCTTCAACGGATGTCAATATCTGTTCATGGATGTTGACATCCGTTTAAGAATTCAACGCATATTCACATTTGTTTAAATATTACTGAAGGGTAAAAGATGAATGAGGAGATGCAGGGAGCACTGTGTGATGGTGGATGGAGTAACTCTCCCAAGCATGCCAGCCTCATGGGTTAGTTGGGTCAGTCCGCTAGCCCGGCTAAACTTTGAAATAGTCTGACCGAGCTCTGAAATTGTTTGGTCAAACTTTGGTAGAGCTTGACAGTTCAGCAACTAGTAGCTTGGCGGACCTGGTTGAAAAAGTCAACTCGTACTTAAAGTGACGAGCCATTCCAGCCCAACCCATTTTTGACAGATCAAGATCGACTTGGGCTTAAACGGGCCCAATTAGTTCGTTTTGCCACTCCTAAAACTATAACTTGATTATGTGTTCGATAAGATTACACACTGAATGAAATATTCTTAAGTCACATAATTAATAAATTATTTTAGCATTCCTAATTTCTTTATTTTCTTTACCTGACTTTGTCAGTTTCATAGCATTCTAATGTAATTTTACCATATGTACGAAGATAATCACTTCTCATCTTGGTTTTGTTTTTCATTTAAGAAATAATGACTATGGGGTATTTGATATGATGAGATAGAGTTATATTGAAGTTGGACACGTTTATTAATTAATTGGAAAATGACACTTGAACAACCATTTTTGACAACATTTAGACACGCGCACATGTGTCTAAATTTGAGTGGTCCATTTTCATTTAATTTTTCCAACTGGACCACTCAAATTTAGACACGTGTGCACGTGTCTAAATGTTGTCAAAAATGGTTGTTCAAGTATCATTTTCCTAATTAATTGGACATCCTTTAAGTTTACATTTTTAAATTTTATTCAACTTATTAATAATTAAAATTTTGAAAAAATATTTTTGAAAAAAACTTTTATATTCTAAATTAGTTTTTTGAAAATCAATATAAAAATGCAATTTGTTGTAATCACTTCGGTAAAAAAATTATACAGAAAACCAATTTTTGAGACAAACGGTTTAAAAACAAACTATTTTTATACAAGTTAACCCAATAATCGGTTTAAAAAGTAACTTTTTGAATTGATAAATATATAAGAATTTTCTTATATTTTTTTTTTGAAAAAATTGGTTATAAAAATTTACTTAAAAGCTGTTAAATAAAAAATGTAAAATTAAAGAGTATTTTTCGAAATTTTTTTATTTCTCCCAATGTTGATATATTCAGCAACGAGAACTGAATAAATTTCTAAAAGACATGTATTCTTCTTCTTATTTGATCTATACTCGACATTGACACAACTACTATCGAATATTATAGCTTACCAACACTTATTGTTTCAAAAGTTCAGAAGTGAAAAAAAATGTATAAGTTTATAGAAAATACATAGTTTGTATATAAACAGGAGATTGCATAGCTTTATGTTCGACTAAGTAAATACATATACGAGGTGGAGAGACCGACAGAACTCTATAACCCGTGACAAAAAGAAAATCCTGTCTTGGAGAAAGGAATTGTTGAAAAATAATAATATAAAAAAAGTTAAATGGTTGAAATTGGCATACCTTCAAATTTTGACTGTTAATTCTTTTTCATTTTCCGATTGATAATCATCCCAAACAAGATTGACATGAGATATGTTGTGCCAATCCTGTCCAATTTCTGGCCTGTATCTTTTCCATAATTCAAAAGAACCAGTGACATTAATCACTTTTAGATTTGTGAGGTGAAGCATGTTATGAGGGACTGATAATAGGTTTGGACAATTGAGAACTGAAAGTCCTTGGAGACAATTTAGAGTTGGTAGCCAATCGGGAAGCTCCTCAAGATTCAAGCAATCTACAATACCTAAGGACTGTAAAGAGTTGGCAGATCCTTGAAGCCACCGAGGCAATCTGACTAGACTTGGCAAGTCTCTAAGAATGAGAAGCTTCAACCTTGAATAAAGGATTTCGTTGCTAAGGCCCATTGACAATTCCAACTTGTTGCACTCTGCAATCACTAAAACCTCTAAATTTTTTATGGCATGGAACGGCACCGTCTTTAGACTTTTACAATCAATTAAAGTCAATCCTTTAAGAGTGAGTAGTAGTATTCCTTTGAACAATGACTCCAAATTATCACAATGATAAAACCTTAAATCTTCTATAGAAGTCAAACTTGCAACTTCTTTTTCTGGAAAAACAGGTTGTTTGGTGGTTATAAACAGGTGACGAAGGCTTATTAGATTTCCTAGTCCTTCGGGTAACTTTTGTAGCTTTATGCATCCCTTAAGGTTCAAGACTTGCAAATTTTGAAGTTTGCAAACTGAATCAGGGAGTTCCGTAAGGTTTTCATTGTTCGAAAGGCTGAGATATCTTAAATGTTTCAACTTTCCGATGCAGCGAGGCAGACTTTCGTATTCACACAAATCTAAGATTAAAACACTCAAGAATTTGCACCTTGATACCAATGTATTCAAGAAATCTTCATTATTAGCTCCATTAGGAAAAAAGATACTTCTTAGACTTGAGGGAAGAAGAGCTTGATCAAGCAAATTATTATTCATTAATAACAAATGATGGGCATTCTTGTATAAGTTTGGATTGTGGTTTTGTATTATTTCAAACTCACCCTTTGCAATATATACGGCAAGATCGACCACCAAATCATGTAATTTAAACCGACAATCACCTCCCAAGTCTTCATATTCTGAAAGAAAAGATCTTGACCATAGCTCATGCAACAATTGAGTGGTAACATCAGTCATTGATTCACTTGCCTTTGGTGGTGGAAGAAAACCAAGTGCTCCCCATAACATACAAACTTGAGAACTAAAAAGAAAAGTGTCTTCTGGGAAAAGGGAGAAAGAAGCAAAACATGGTTTTAAATACGAAGGCAGTTGATCGTAACTTAGTTTGAGAGCAGGCAAAATGTCTTTTTCATTTTGTTGTAAATTCCAAATCTCATTGTCTCTTACACTCTCCCACTCTCTCTCCTCAACCCTTGAGAACAGTGAACTCCCCACCGTTTTCACCGCCAATGGTAACCCTCCACATTTGTTTACTATTTCTTCCCCAATTTTCAATAGTTGTGGATGTTTCATCTCATCTCCATCTTCAAAAGCATATTTCACAAATAGAGAACGAGAATTCTCATCAGAGAGACATCCTAGAAGGTACGAATTTGAGGATTTAGTGTGCATAATGGCAGCTACTTTATGGCTACGAGTAGTCACTAGGATCTTACTCCCTTCAACACCCACATCTATTATTTCTCTCAACTCATCCCATCTTGCACGATCCTCGTTCCACACGTCATCCAACACAAGCAAGGACTTCTGCCCTTCAAGTGTATTTCTCAAATGAATTTGAAGTTGCTCTGTCTCAAAGTTATTGAAGTTTTCCCTATTTGGGTTTGGAGCAGAATTGAGGATTTTAATGAGCACATTCCTAAGTTCAAAGTCATTGGAGACACACACCCACATCCTCAACGGAAAACATGCATTAATAGTGGCGTCATTGAAGACCAA